CACTGCCACATCCCTCACAACCCCGCCAACCAAGAAATGCAACATCCACAGCACCTGCACGGAATGTTCCAGTGAAGGGAAAGGTGCAGCCTGTGAAACTGCTCGCTCACGACACTGCTCTGGCGGACGGGCCTCCACTCAGAGGGCGCTCCATGGGACCTTCTCTATCAAGGGTATTTGGATAAAACTCTGCCATGCTGGTCGGACGTTTTGGAAGAGCTGAGAGAGTACCCAGACCATTCCCATATCCATCAGAGGGATTTTTTTGGGTTAGAACGTGTGAATATAAAAGTGTCGTTAAACCCGCCACCATCCGACACAGCCAATTAGTAAGGTTTGTTTCGTAAACAAATCATGCCAACTCGTTACTAGTACAGCACACCGGTGTGTTGGAGAGCAAACCCACAACATTTACAATTCGATTACGTGACAAACCTTACTAATTGGCTGTGTCGGGTGGTGGCGGGTTTAACAATACATTTATATTTCAGTTTCTGTTTCATGTATTAGGTATAACCCTGTGAGCCATGCATCTCTTGACTCGGGTGCAACCGCAACAAAACAAAAACATGAACAAGAATCATCTTCCATAAAAAGCACCGCATTTCAACGCTGTGTGCAAAAATCCCAGTGGGATGCAAGTCAAACAATAACAACCATAAGACAATGTAGATTAAAGTTATCAGGCCAACTCTGTACTACAACAAACATGGCTAAACCAAAACGTTTTCAAAATCACCAAAATAAAGCTATAAAAACAATGTAACAGTGATCATAGGAACTGTGATTCAAATGTAACAATAAACGATATACATAACATGTACGACCAAACTATGCAGCCATAGTTGGCTGCATGAGTCACTCCATAACAGCAGGAGTATCAGTAGCAGACTCAAAAATTTTCAATACACAATTAGAGATCAGCACACTAAAATCAAAACTCAAGATCATACTTTGCAGCGGTCATCCGGAATGATTCATTTGATTTCAGGCCATTCTTAATAGCAGTGATCTCACAGGTAGTGATCCGAGTTGCAGTTTATTGGCGATAGCATTCCAGACTCTGGGGGCATCAATAGAAAAGGCCCTTCCTCCAGTATTTGTACGGCAATAAGGAATGTGAAGGTGGTAAATGAGCGAAGGCCTTGGGTCAAATTTGTTCTTCGAAACAGAGAGGAGATCCAGCAGGTAGTCTGGTGATTTTTTTGTAAGTAAATCGTGAATAAATAAGATCTGATGCACAAGCCGTCAATCATTAAGAGAAGTTAAGTTTGACCCAATGTAGAGATCGCAGTGGTGGGTCCTATATGGGCAGTTCAATGCAAATCTTAAGGCCGAGTGATAAATTGAGTCAAGCTTCTTGAGCACTGGGGGCTGATTTATATACGATGTCACAGTAATCAAGTAGAGGCAGTACGGTAGCTTTTATCAATTCCAAGCGGAATATAGGGGGGAAGCAGTGCTTGTGTCGATACAGAAAACCAATTTTTAATTTTGTCTTTTTACCAATATAATCAATGTGATCTTGAAAATTCAGTTTTGAATCAAAGATGACCCCAACATACTTATAGATCTTGACTTGCTCTATTTGATGATCATTTAAGGAATATAATTGGGGAAAAATAACTTCCTGCTTTAGTCCTGGTGAGAAGCATAGCACCTTGGTTTTGGAGGTATTCAGGACTAGTTTAAGAGCAACTAGCTGATGTTGTAGTTTGTTGAAATCACCCTGGAGCTTAGCAATCACGTCATCAGGTGAACGGCCAGCAGTATTTACGCACTCTAACCCAAAACAACTCTATTATGGATAATATTGGTCGCGGAAGCCTACGTGTTAAACTGACCATGCCCATAACTCGCAAATATCATCTGATCCACGTGTCCTATATGTCTAAATGTAATCCAAGCATGCACCAATCCACGTTGCTTTGTGCACTCTTCACTATTTAGCCTTTTGTGACTCGAGTACACGTACATCTAAAGCCCTTGTGTCAATCCACTGCTGCATGAGAGCCTCCCAACACCATGTGGGTCATGGGTGTTAAATATTTGATCATATTTCACCGTGGCGGTCAGTTCTGGTTGAAGGCGGGTAGCATAGACAATGAGGCATAGTGCAATACCACAATTGATTTTCCTGCACTGCCCGCCTGCTCACAATGTAACGCCACAGTAGCCTCCGTCACCTGTTATTATGCATTGTCGTCACTCGTCCAAGTGCTATCCACGCTCAATCCTGCTTAGCTTCTGTTACTCTGACGAGATGGGCCACATTCTGGGTGATTTGGTCATCTGCTGCAACTTGGATCAAGTGCATTATCTATTGCTCATTGCTATGGCTCATATGCAACGCTTTTGTCGTTTGTTCAGCACCCTTGTAATGGCCTCATATGTTATGGCACTATACGTTTTGTTGTTGTTATTTTTGTATTACGGTAATTAGGAATGCAGCAAATGGGAATGGACTGCAGTGAGGGCCACGGTTGGTTCACCTCGAGGTTAGACCGCAGCCACGTTGACAGATAAGCACGCAATCACATACGTCAGCGCTGTGTGCACAACTTGACGCCAGGGCCCAGGGGAGTTGTCAAGGTTGGTATGAAAGGTAGAGCCACAGGTGATCTTGCAGCAAGCTTACGTGATGGTTAGCAATCTTACTACTAGCTATTGCGTTTCAGAACCAAGATTAAGTGCTTTTTTAGGCAAACTCACAATGATGGGCTCCACTGAAGAGTTCTTGATTTGGCTACTCATACGTACTTATCTACGTACGAAGTGCCTAGTGTAATCAACGCAAGTTGTCAAAAACCAGCCACTATTTGCATGCAGTGTGAAGGCCAGGCTGCGACTCTTAAGCGACAAGTCTGGGCCACTCAACACGGCAAACTGCCCAAAAATGTAATATTATTATTCCGCTTGCTTACCCAGAGTCTCAAGACTCCTTTTCATAGGGTCCTGCCAAGTTTGTGTGAGTGGGAGACAATGTTGCCATGTGTTAATCCCTTCTGAGTAATTTGCAAGTACATTTTCGGCATTGGAATGTTTGTCAAATGCAGTACAAACTCCACACAGAAAGGCACCAAGGTTGGGAATCAAGCCTTGGCCCTTCGTGCTGTGAGGCAACACATGTTACCACTCTGCCAACCATGCTGCCTCACTGTAAGCCTAGAAAGTTAGCCGGATATTTGATTTCACGCTCATGAGATAACCAATCGCAATTTAGCGGGGGGTTGGTGGGGGGGGGGAAAACACACAAACCCGGTCGGGCAGAGGTCATTCAAAGTCGCTACGACAGCGACATCAAATACGCCGCAGATGCACACACAACACCGAGCAGTTACGCACGCGCCCTGCAGCGTGCAGATGATCCCAAGCAAGCCTCAAAAGCGTCTGCTTTGAGGGTGGCAACATTGGGTATTATTTGCATTACCGGTAATTGCACGGAAAAAAAAACCCGATAAAACTACATTCTACAGGATTTGCCGCGTAAAATTAAACCGCCGAGCAAATAAAATACCTAAATAGGTTTTTTTTTTTAAAGGAACATTAAGGGGAGCCGCCGTGGTTTATTAGTTAGCACACTGGTCGCTGGTTTCATTCCATGTTCTGCCACGGCAGTTGAAACAATGCGGGGGGGGGGGGTTTAAGGTTTACTTGAAGAAAGAAATCCCCTCGTGCTTCTACCAACCCGGAAGAATGAATGGGTTCGCCGAGATTAGTGGAACGGCAGGTCACCTGTGGCGGGGTAAAGTGTGGGTATGCCCCATCTCTTCCGAGACATCTGGTCAGCGTGGAAGAGTAGGACAAATACCCTCGAGCACTCCCTCTCGTAGAGTCCCTTTCACCAGCAGTGGCGTGAGTGACTGAGCGAGTGAGCAATGGGCAGGGTTGCAAGCGAGGGCACATGTAACCACGCAGTAACTTATGCTGCCGTGCTGCTTGTACTTTTGCGTCCACCAAATCGGTGTGTAGTTCATTTACTGAAATTCCACTGGGTAAAATTACCGGTTCTCGACTTTCAGAAACGGTAAATCGGATTCTGAAAATGGTTACCAGTTAAGCGGTTATCGTTAAACAACCATAGTCTGCTTATGTGCTATATAAAAAAGAGGCGTCACGGTCTGAAATGTCACCCCTTTATATATGTTTTCTTTGAAGGCAGTGGCTATTGACAAACATGCCGCGTTTCTGTTGTGTGCGCTTGAAGCGCGCCACGGTTCCACTGGAGTCATAGATATGTTTCGTTCTGCCGTGTTGTTTTTGAGCTCCCTTTTCCACCCTGTTCTGAACGGTCACATCTGCAGCACAGGCCGGATGTGTATGCGTGCACGTGTGCGTGCGTGCATGCGTGGGTAGAGCGGTGGAGTAGTGGTTAGTGTAATGCGGGGTGGAGGGCGCTACGACCCTTTAGTCAGTCCAACTTAGTAGCATGAGCACAGGGACCCGAATTTGACTACCGGCCACGGACATCATCAGGAGCGATAATCTAAATGAGTGCCTGGAAATCCGTTAACATCAGTACCGGGGAGACAAAATGTCCACCATTCAAACCTTCATTAGGTTCTCGCTAACAACACTTGCCCCAACAGCCCATGTAGGCTACATTTGGGGGGGGGGGGTGACCTTTGTCTTTTGTCCCTTTTTCACCAGCACATCCGAGCCGAGAAAGTGAGGGGGCCCCCTCATGGTACGGTTAGTTTTCCACCGGCTATCTTGCCGAGCCAATCCAGAACCAAACCGTTATACTGTACGATGCTTCGTAAGACATGTGATTCGGACTCAGGGACAGCACTAATGGCGACACTCATCGTGTGCGATGTCCGTCAGCACCACTGAGACAACGGCGGTGGCGCCGCGTCACCGACGCGCATCTCGACTCGTCGGCCGCGTGCGACGCTCGTGACACGCCAAATCTTTTTTGGCTGGCACGACATGGGGTCCCCGGGCGCGACTCGGTTGTGTAGTGAAAGGACATTTGCGTGTCTTCATTGTCCACTCACACTCCTTCATCATGCCGATGTCCTTGCAGCGTTTGAGCCGGCACGATTGGCAGTGGCGGCGGTTGTCCTTGGTGATGCTGCACCTCCCGTCAAAGGGGCAGGTGAAGGAGGCTGAGCGCTTCATGCTCCTCCTGCGCGACACGCCAACGCACACAACGCACACAACGCACGCAGGCAGGCAGGCGCGTGCACCGCACACCGATGAGTCTCCCCGACTATGAGGTACGACTGGCGGAAAATATACACGGCGTTTTATTCGAGGCGTGACGAAGAGTGTGAATACCCAGACTTCAGTGACAGCCTCAAATGAGATTAACCGCGGTTATAAGTTACAACGCTACGATTCACATTGTCTAACATTCAGGCTGATCTCTGTATGCGGCTGTTCAAAAGCCAGAGTTGGTCTCATTCTGCTCAAATGAGCGCTTTGGTATTGGTGCTCATCTATGGTTTTACAGCCCTGAGGCTGTGGTAGAAATGATGCATTCCTATGGCAGAGGCGAGTCCATCCATAGAAAAGCCATTGTGTTGACTTGCTTTTTTATCGACCCCAGGAGAGATGATGGGATGACTCAACCCCCGACCAGAATTTCAACTCTCAACCTATGACAATCTTAAAATGTTCTCTAAATAACATTCAGAGAACCAATAAGATTACCCTAAGGGGATGTTTTTTGTAAGCAGCCGTTATTGATGGTAGTTGTAAAAAATATATATTATTTTGGGTTTAAACATTTATTTTCTTCTAAGAAAAGAGTTAACGTTAAATGACGTCACAAAGAGGCAGCGCAAACGAACAGGGGCTAAATATGCCAGGAGACATTCCAAATACCTTCCGCGGCACCGTGGCACGGCAGGAGTATAACACAATAATTATACAGCTCGCGACTCTGGCGCAATACTTAATGGCATTTCACGACGGCAATTCACCTGGGGACGTGCACAGAATACAAACGCAACACCTCTGCGAAATCAAAGCGCAGCCCAATAGGTTTGGCGTTTTGAATCGGCCACGCTGCGTCGCCACGGAAGGTGGGGAGGGGGCCGCCGCCCACCCTTCAGGGAAGATAGAAAACCGTGGTGGCCGCACACATCGGTAAGTTCACTGTGTGCGCCGGGCAAGACAAGCAGCGGTGGCATCACCGTTTAGCCAAATAATCAGGCGCTCGTGTGGGCGTGTCTCTCTCGCATCACTTGGCAGCGGCACGAGATTTCTCACGGGCCCTCGCACAACGGTAGCTCCTGCAAAGCCGGAATGCACTTGGACCCTGTCTGATATCCAGAATAGGGGTGTAGCCTTTCCGTCCGATCGTACAACCTGTTGTTCGGTATCGTCATTATTATTTACTTGGCTTAGCCAAAGCCCCGGGGCTCGCATAATTTGTCTGAAAACACAAGTGTGGGCACTTGACTTCCATTTGCACGAATAATTTCTTCAAACCAAATCTGCATGGAAAAAACAGCCAGTGACGCACACAGAGGCCAGGTGACAATCTCTTCTGAATCCCAATGCCCCCCCCCTCCCTCCTGTCTCTGCCTCACTCGGCTCTGTGCTGTCAGATGGGAGTTTGAGATAAACACGCGGGAGATGGTGGTGTCGGGGGGGGGGGATGTCGCTCTCTGTGGCGCCTCGAGTGGAAAAAGGGGTGGGGTTATAAAGAGGGGGTGCGTCGGTGGCTTGATGTTCTGCTCCCCCAGGGACCTGCGCCAGATCTGGACCTGAGAGTGTCGAATTCAATTAAACCCGCGTTCCTGAGCCCATTTACTGCTTTAGAGCGCAATCGCCGTGCTCAGGCATGAAGGCCTACTAACCGAAAACAGGCGAGCGGCAGACAGTGCTGAGGAGCGGTTAAAAGGTGGCGGAGACGAACAACGTGTCGTGGGAATCGAGCGAGGCGAGGCAAACAAAAATTCAAAAGGAGACGATCCGGGCAGTGTAAGGAAAGAGAGAGGTCGATTTCAACAATGAGGTGGAAGGATGAGGGGAAACGGCGCATCTGTTAGAATGAGTCATCGACAGCAGGGGTAGGTGTCAAGGCGTGAAGTTCACGGGCACAGTGACCGAATGTAGCAGTGGAAGTGGTAAAAGAGTAACCAAGCAATTCAAATCTTTACTTCTCCAGGCAACCCGACGAAAGGCGTCGCAATTCGGCAGGCTTAAGTAAAAAAACGGCATCGGTATATGAGGAATAAAAATTTACAACGGGGGCGTACGAATGCCCGTACAGAGTTTGTGTTCAGCTTTGCGTAAACGGTCGCAGGTCGACTAAAATCGGCATTCACGGAGGCTTTCAATAAATCACACGGCGGTGGGCACATGCGCCAAACAACCGCCACGTGCAGCAATACTGCTCCGCAATTATTCTCCGCTTCGGGTTGGGCACCGCAACAACTTTTTTTTTTACTGATCGCCACAGGTGTTAGCAATGCGCGGTGGCACATTCCGCTCGCGTAGATGATGATGCGCGTGTGTGTGTGTGTGTGCCACGTGAAGTGAAGTTTCCCGATTGGGAAGTTGGCCCCGAGAGCAGCTCGAGGGCTATTTTAAAAGCAAGCCCCCACGAGTTTCCATCGAGGCACCGCCCCCCCCCCACCCCTACCCCCTCTATCACCACCGCGTGGGCACAGCGGCCGTGCCCGCGCGGTAATCCTCCCAGGATGAAAATCGCGGCAAAGTGCCAGGGGGAATTCCGATTTCCAGGAAAAGCAAAAAATCCAAAATCGTTAATTACAAGAGCGGCGCTAAAAACCGAACACACTGCCAGGTGGGTGGGGGGGGGGGCATCGGCCTGAGCCACGCACGGCTCCACCGTGCATTCCGGCAGTCTGTGAAACCTCTCAGCTCTTGCGCCAGGACCAAACAAAAATATATACGGCGTCGCTTTAGCGTTCAACAACTCTTGCCTCTCGACCTGCACGCCAGGTGAAACAACAAGGGTGCAAGTTTCTTACAACCCCCCAACCCTCACCACCTCTGTCCACCCAGCAGTGGAAATATTTACTTCGCCGTTGGTGGATCGGCAGGCCGGGTGTGGTAAAGTGTAAGTAGCGTGAGCACACTGCACTACGAACCCGGCGACCAGAGTTCGATTCCCACTCACAGACAACACCAGTGACGATTATTTGAACTGGTCCTGGGCCTTCCCTAGGTCGACTCAGCCTCCAATGAGTACCCGGTGCGGCGTGGAAACATCATCACTGGGGAGACAAAGGCGGACGAGAGTGGTGCTAGTCACCCACCCCCTCGTGTGGCGTGCCGGCCTTCATAGGTGCTTTCGGTAAGTCACGTAGAAGGGAAACAATAAAATAAAAATAAATATTGCTGTGGTTTTCACACCTGATGATGATTGCTTGTGTTGCAGTCGAAACGTCGTTAGAATTTTATTATTTTATATTTTTATTATTTTATTGTTTCCCTTCTACGTGACTTTACCGAAAGAACCAAGAAAATGAATCCCTGCAGTCACGAAAGCTTTAAATCAAAATTTAAGTATGTTAAGGCTACAGGGAGGGATCTTTGTGTTGTCTTTGTACTCCCACCTCTTACAAGACGTATGGCCAGCGTGGAAAAGTGGCACAAAAAAAACTTCCAGGAGGAGCACTCAAGAGCGCTCTCAGTAGTGGATGACCTTCTGCCAGCAGCGGTGTGAGCAAAAAATTTCAGGCCTGCACCTTTACCTTGACCCTCGCAGTCAAGTTTTCTGTAATGAGTTGCAATCATTGATTTGGCAATCGCACCGTAAATATTTTTATCATTGCATTGTAACTCATCTTAGTCTGCTTCTCAATTCCAGATTTGTGAAAAGAATATCCATTGTGATATATGCATACAGTATATTTAAATATACAACTGCTGTTATGTAATTCAAGGGATTAGCTTATTTAGGGAGATGCTCCCGGCATACGGAGAAAAGCTTTGGGGACACAGTACGATGAACAAAAAAAAACACCCAGTACAACCTGAAAACACAACGCAGAGCCACACACAGCCACAACAGCAAAAACCTACGCAGCACTAAGTCAAGACTTTACGTCTGGCATTTTTTTATTTTATTGGCTTCGTAACCCACGGGGTGGGCTCTCTGTTGAAAAAGAGAGACTCGTAGTCTCAACAGGCTCTCACCTGCTTAAAAAAATCCACTTCACTTAAATGGGAACACCTGCAGATGGGGGCTGTAAACGGAGTGCACACACAGTCCACTGCATTTCCCAGGCAGCTGGCATGGTGCAAGGCTGCGTGCGAGCGATCCCTCTGTGAAGGTGGCGGTCTCTGTACGTTATCGCGGCTGGGCTGAGCAATGTCGCTCTCCACGTGTGTCTCGGGTCGTGTGCCACGTGTCAGAATGAGAATATTTGTTTATTCTGGAGGAATCCGATAAGCTATAAAGCTCTTTTGCCACAGATGTCCAGTAGGGGCAGGTCAGAACGTTACAACAAACAGTACACAAACACGTCAGGAATGCCAAGTATAAGAAAGATAAACCAATCACTTTAAAAAATATATAGAAATAAAACTCGTCTATTTTTTTTCCTTACCAGGTAAAGCCCATTGAGCTATTAGCGTCTTTTTCAGAAGCAACCTGGCCACAAATGAAAGCTCAACGAAGTGGCTTATCGTGTGGAAATTTACAGCAGCAAAATAATCTCAACGTATCGGTCGGCACGATGCTCGACGTTTCACCCCATGCGGAGAAGCCACCAGAAACGTCGGATGTCACAGCGGAAAACGTGCGGTGACGACCAACAACACCCCACAAATCGGAGACCTGTGACTTCGTTGAGTCTGCAAGCGGCAGCACAGTCAGCTGTTAACAGTAGACAGACGTACAGTCACAGGTACTGCGCAGCCCTTTTGTCAAGCCACCGCTGGAGGAGATCTTCCCGACACCGTGTCGGCTGTGGTGGATACTTGACCATACCTCATCCCGTTGGTCAGTATGTGTCAGTAATGGTGGGAGAGGGTGAGGTGGTGGGGGGGTACTGAACTGGTCCAGATTACATTGCTGTTGGCTGTAGTTAAACTCAAATTGCGGGGTTCATAGTTCGGTGTGCCAACTGCTGCACAAACACTGCTCCTCCACACAAGCACAGAGCCATTAAGTACAACTGTGAAACCAGGGTAGTGAACCCA